AGTTCTCTAAGGGTTCCCACATTTTTTTTCCAACCCCCTTTGTTGCTTAAATGTTTTTACAGGGTATAGTGAGACGCTCGCACATTCCCACATCCCCGCATATTCCGTTTCCTCCCGCGTTGAGGAAAAAGGGATTCTTCCCCCCCCTCTCCGCAGTTTATTTTATACACTTATATTTTATACAGCGTTTATTTCCACGAATTACTAATTACATTCCTAACACAGAAGAATCTCAGCTCCGATGCTTGGAGCACGTCCTCCTCCCCCTCCCTCTTTTGCACCAATCTTAGTGTCGCCATATTTTTCTCCTCACATGTCCTCACTTTTTCCTTTTCTCTGACTCGGGAGAGAATTGGTATCTGTAAGTTCGTTTGTTCTCAAGTTCTATCAATTGAAACAGTTTTTGTAGAGCTCTGCAGCGCTGAAAGGTTGATCTTGTCCAGGCTCCACAATCGGGGAATTGCTCGCCGTGCTTCTCTCTCTATTGGTCACATGGTCTCCGCCGGCACTGGGGAAGCCTCGCTGGCTGCCAGCTCCACTCCACGCCTTTTCTTCATGCGGGACACCGAAAAAAGAAAAGCTGCTGCCGCCGCTTTTGTCTTTCTGTCCGCAGCATGGCTGGTTAAAAGCGGCTAAGTAAATAAAGTCCATTGTGAGCCATGCCGAGAAAGCCGCAGCCGCACGGCGCTGCCCCGGCCCCATGGTTGCTCGCGGCGCTGGGATGGCCCCTAGCAGTATGGCCCGACGGCCGCGCCGGGACAGGGTCCAGCGGCCCCAGCTGGGAAGGGACCCTGGCTGGCCCCACCAGGAAGGGGGCCCGGCCTGCCCCCCCCCCCCCACCTCTCTTTAGAGAACAGGGAGCAAGAACGCTTCTGCGGTTTTTTCGTTCTTAAATATGTCATCAGAGAGGCGTTTCCAGCTTTTCTAATTGGCTTAGCAGTGTGCCAATTCTCAGAGCTAGCCAGCAATTAGTTTTGCCAGGCACGGAGGGAGCTGCTAGCAGCTCCTCACAGAGAATCACTTCTGTGGCTTTTTCCCTCTTCACCAAAAATCAATTAATATAAAACCAGCACAGTTAGTATTAAAAGCTTCATCCTGTTAAGTATATGGTGCATCTCAACATTTTCTGAAATACAACAGAGGGCTCCTATTATTTAATAGGAGAGGACTATTGCATAACTATTTTTAAACACCTGACCTCTAGTTATGGATGCACAAATTATTATTAATTCAGTTAAAAAGTGGAAAAAATCAACGAAAAAAGCCACCAAACCAAACTTTTTTGGAAAAAATTGAAATGCTACCTAGGGAAATAGAAAAAAAAGTACTATAAAACATATAATGCATACATGATTTATCAGAATTTTACCTTCACAAATAGAGTAGTGCATTAGTCAAGGACTTTCTTTGCCATTTGTAAGTGGACTGTTATAGCAGATTTTAAATTAATTTACAGCTTATGTCTGAATTGGAGGAGATTGGACTAGATGCTTTCTGACCAGCTATTTTTACTCATTGAAATTTTTAAATTAAATTATTCATCAGTTATTATTTTTACAGGACGTTGAGATATATTTATGGATGCTTGCAGAAGTCTGTTCAAAACAAGTGGCCAGCTAATACGACAATGAGAACAAGAGTTGTTAGGTAAGTTACTTGTCATTTTATGCTGAAAATAATATTTTGTTGTCTTATTACTGTCATGCTTTAGTGTACTTATCAATTTTTTTCTTTTAGTGACAAAAGTTTTTAGTATTTATATAGATTACAAGAATATTTAAAATTATTATGGTACCAGGGCATGATATCTCAATTAAGGATCTGCTAAATTCTTAGTCATGTTGTTGGAGAATTTCTAACGGTCTAGTATAGAGGTCAGTATAGCTATACTTAATAGCTTTAACTTTGAATTTACTTATATTTTGTTAATTTATTTAAGATCTTGGGAAAGAGAAAAAGTTCTCTCAAAATTATAGTTAACCTTCTATATCCTCTAATGATTATGTTCCTGTCATGCCATCTGGGAAGACTGTGCCTTATCCAGGGACTCATGTAGTGTGTGTTAATTACTGGAAAAATCTTACACATGCTAAGATAAGTATCCTTTAAAGTAGGGACATAACATGTTAAGGAAACTAATACCTTCTCAGAAAGGTGATTGGACTGTCATTAGATTTCACTGAGGTACTTTCTGCACTGGAATATATAGTTTTCTGCATCAATGAAGGCTCCCTGTGCTGATCACTTGGAATCAGCATTCATTTTGGAAAATATGTACTTTTATGCTGTCCCAGTTTTATTTCACTGCTCCAGCCCAATCATGTTAAAACATTCCAGAGTCTCTTTAAAAATGTTGCAAGCTACTGAACCTGACTCCTTTGAACTGTTACCAAGTACAAAAACTCCAGTCTGCATTCATAAATCAATTGAATAAATAGTTCTTTCTTTAACACTACCAGTTGCTAGTGCAGGTAAAAAAAAAACCCTTTTGACAAAAATGAGATCTTGACACTTGTTCTAAACATTACTGGAGATTTAAAGGTTTCAAAGCCACATCTTTTCTACATTTGCATTACCTTTTTTTTTTTTTTTTTGCAAGCCTAGCTTTCTAATAGACCCAATATCTGGCACTGATTTGATTTACTGAGGTTAATCTCCCATTGAAGAGTGTTTTACAGATGATTTGTCATTGGCTCTTGTTTATCACTGTGGCTGGAGACAGAAATGAAGATATGGGAACCCTTCCTTCCTCAGAGTTTCAGTTAATGTTAGTGTACTTAGTACAGTACCTTCCATGCTTATTTTCCTGTCATTTAGTGTTCATAACAATAGTGACTCAAGATTTTAATGAAGAAAAATCTTCAACAAAATGCCTGCCAACAGTGTTCTGCAGGAGTTTTGCCTTCAGATTGAGGCTGTTCTCATCAAAAGTGTTTGGGCTAGTCTATTGCAAGCGTGTAGAAATTAGAAGCAAATACCATGTCTATTCCTGTTTCTTCCCATCTCCAGAGAGCACCATGTGGCTTTCCTTAAGTGCTACAGCTTACACTGAGAATTTTTCTGGGGTCTCTGCTGGATACTGTAAATATTGGGTCCCTTTCTGTCTTCATAAGTGGATACTTGTGACTTGTCTCTAGAGTAGAGTTTTGTGGGGGTTTTTGCAGCCTCCAGTGAAGAATATTATCTTTTACTGCACTGATTTTGGTCCAGGAATAATTACATATTCAAAGACAGGTGGATAGTTTTTAAGTGCCTGGGTAGCTTGTCTTCTGTAAAATTCAGAAAGTGCTGCCATTTCTGTTTCTTTGTAAAAGACCATGCATAGGTATTGACTCATTCCTAATTTAGCTTGACTAGTGTAAGAAGCAGCAAATTTTCTGTGTCTGCAAGGTCCATCTTGGGTTCATACCCCAATTGTCCTCAGGCCATCCGTCGTTGTTTGAAGCTGGCTCAATGCCAGGCACCCACGAGAGTCGCTCACTCACCCTCCCCTGCCACAGCTGGGCAGAGGAGAGAAAAAAATGAACAAAGGGTTCATGAGCGAGATAAGGACTGGGAGAAAACATTTCAAGGGCAGAACAGGCTCAACTTAAGGTTGCAAAGTGAATTTATTACTAACAGAATCAGAGGAGGATAATGAGAAGTAAAATAAGCCCTTAAAGCACGTTTTTCCTCCCCGCCCCTCCCTCCTTCCCACCAACACCACAGGGAGACAGGGCACAGGGGTTTTGGTCAGTTCATCACCGAGATTTTCTTCTGCTGCTCTGGGAGAGGAGTCCTTCCCCTGTGAGGCACTGGGGTCCCTCCCACGGGAGATAGTTCTCTGTGAACTTCTCTGGCATAGATCCACTCACAAGCAGCAGTCCTACCACACTTACTGCAACAAGAATTCCCCCCACGGCAAACAGTCCTCCCAAAACTGCTGTGATGCGGATCTCTTTCCACGGGGTGCAGTCCTCCAAGGACAGGCTGCTCCAGCCTGGAAGCAGGGGCCCTCTCTCTCCACCGGGTCTTCCTCTGGATCACAGCCTCCTCCAGGCATTCACCTGCTCCAGCATGGGCACCTCCCCTGCGGGCTGCAGGTGGATCTCTGCATCCCCCGTGGATCCCCATGAGGAGCACCTCCTCCCCCTCCTTCTTCAATGACCTTGGTGTCTGCAGAGTTGTTCTTCTCACATGTTTTCACCTCCTCCTCTTCTCAGCTAGAATTAAAACTGCACCACAAAGTTTGTTTAGATTTCTTCTTAAATATGTTATCACAGTGGCATTATCACCACCTCTGATTGGCCCAGCCTTGGCCAGCAGTATGTCTGTCTTTGGAGCCACCAGCGATTGGCTCTGCTGGACATGGTAGAAGCTTCCAGCAGCTTCTCACAGAAGCCACCTCTGTGGTGCCCCTGCTACCAAGAACCAGACTGTGCAAAACCAACACAACAATTTAGGTTTCTGTTTAATAAGTTCCTAGTTCTGCAGTCAAACTGAGTGCTTTTCCCTAGCTTTCTAGATTGTCTGGGTGGCAGCAGTTACTTCTGTGAAGAAAGTAGCTGATCCAGTATTATTCTAGGATACCGTGATACTGTTATTAGGAGATGGATTGGTTCAAGCTGAACTAAGGCCATGTTGCTGCCAAAAGAGAGGTTCCATTGTTACTGTGCACTCTTGCTCTCCTTATGTTGGCTTGGGGAAATGAGTGGCTGTAGGATGAATTACTTGTGGTAGTAGACAGTGCAACACTTGTAGAAGGCAGGAGATTAAGTACTCCTCCTTTTTAAAGGCAGTGTGGTGTTAGACTGCAGACTTCAGTATGGCTTTACAGTTAAGCTTTTCCCAGGTAGTTTCGGAAGTTTACCTTAGTTGAGAAATCAATATGTCTGGTTTTATTTTGTTTTTTGTCATAGTTGAAATCATAACAAGACATTTTTAATTAATAAACATGGAGCACAGGCTGGTTGTCATCTCACAAAGATTTCCACACTGACTTAAATGCCTAAAGACTACATAATTTTGCATTATTTTTATCATAGATTTAATATTGAACAAAATAAAATTTCTCTTTTTTTCCCATTTCAGTGGCTTTGTTTTTCTTCGACTGATTTGTCCTGCTATCCTGAATCCAAGGATGTTTAATATCATCTCAGGTGACTATGCTTCAGACTGAATTCATACTTTATGTAATAATAGGCAAAAACTTGCTTTAGTGCCTAATTTAGCAAAATATTAAGTAATTTGAACACTGCAGAATCATGTTAATCATATCAATGAATTTACTTTCTCCCTAAGGCAGCCAGCACACAGTTCTCACTCTTAAAGATTAGACAATGTTTATTCCCACTGTCTTGTTTTATAGTAAAAAAAGAAAAAAGAAAAAGTGAATGTTAAAGTGTTTCATAAAGAAAACTGTTGTGGGTTAACGCTGTTTGGCAGTGTTATGGATTGACTTTGGCACAGTGCTAGTGCTTCTATGAAAGGTGTATTTCTTAAAATGGTTGCTGTGAGATGTGACCCGGGAACAGAACAAAGCAGGCTTTAACTTGGGAATGGAGGGAAAAGACAACACTTTATTAATTTACACAGATACAAAAAGGAAGGGGAAAACTGCACACACACAACAATCTACAATAGAACACTTTCAAAACACTCCTCCTCCTCCCCCCAGTCCTCTAATATTCAAATCTCCTCTAACATATTAATACTCAATCTAATACCCTCCTTTTACACAAGCACCCCCCAGTCCATCAGGAGAGAGGAGCTTCTCTCCTCTACTATGGGCCTCTCCAGGAAACACAGTAGAACTTTTGTGCTTCCATGTCACACACGGCAGCTGCTCGAAGAGAAATCTGCCATGGTGACTATCTTCTTTTCATGTCTAGTGCTTTCACTACTGTTCATGGATCTAAACTACTCTTTGGGGTTTTTTTTAAGAATGCTTTTCGCTTAGTTCTAAGACGTGGCTGCTTCTCACTATTTGGGACACCTGTCCCCCCCATTTCAGTTCTCTGGGGCTTGGGGCTCAGGAACGGAGATTCTTCGCTGAAGGCTGAGAGTTTTAACACACCTTCCCCCTCAGTCTCTGTTCTTTTGGCTTCTTTTCGCAGCCTTATCATTCTTAGCGTCTAGTTAGCTGCTTCTTTCAAAGTGCAGTCTCTGCATTAACAGAAAAACTTAGCTTCGCTTGTAGCTATGTCAAAAAAAAAGTCTAGCTTAAAGCCACTCCAATCATCTCCTTCATCTCGAGTGCTTTATCTGCTAGCATTCTTTCACTTACTCAAACTTTTTCATCTTTCCCCTCCTCCATCTTTTCTCAATTTCTAGCTAAAAAAGATTAGTGTTTTTACAGCTTCTATTGTTTTAACATTAAAAAAGTTAAAAGCACAGCCTGTCCTAGCAACAGCTAAGCACCTTGCCCACCCCTTCTCCTCTCGACCACTTATCTTTTTCTCCAAAAAGAGCTATCTCTCTAAGAGTGCTCTGCTTTTAACCCCTGTGTATTCTCAGAAACGTATCCAAATCCCCAGTAACCACACCAAGTGCTAATCTAAAATTTAGCCACTAATTAGTTTAACCATAACTTCTTAAAACCTTACTTCCGAGTCAAACCATAACAGGCAGATAGAGTATCACAGTCACTTGCCCACTTTCCTCTTCACCCTCAGTAGGATGGGGGAAGAGGAAAGAAAGAATTTAAAAAAAGAAAATTTGGGGGTTAAGATAAAACAAACAAAAATATATAAATGTTTAATAAGTAAAGGATAAATGTAATAGAACTAAACAAGTGATGCAAAGACAATCATACTACCTCCCATGTGTAGACTGATGCCCAGCCAATTCCTGAACAAAAGATGGCTGACACCCATAAAACCTCCCTCTTTTCCCTTTTATTGCTGAGCATGGCTTTATATGTTATAGAATATCTCTGGTTAGTTTGGGTCATTTGCCCTGTTCTGTCTAATCCCAGCCTATTGTTCACCCTCAGTCTATTCATTGGGGGGGGGGAGCAGAGTGAAAAACAGAGGCAGCCTTGATGCTGTATAGACATCATTCAGCAAAAGCTATAATATTATTCTGTTATCAGTACTATTTTGGTCAAAAATCTAAAACTGCTCCTTATGAGCTGCCCTGAAGAAAATTAACTCTGTCCTAGCCAGGCCCAGTACAAAAGCATTATCCTTGGTTTTGATGCTCTTTTTGTAGAGTGCATCTCTATCAGTAGATAAAGCAGTGACAGGGACTATTCCTGTTTGCTAGAACAGGATTGCAAAATTGCAGTACTGATCTGCAGTACAGTTCTGGCTGATAACAGATAGCATTGTCCTAAATGGTTCTTAGATGTGCTTTGGATGTTGACATGCATCAGGGATCGTATCTGAAAGTTGGCATGGGGCTTTGTTGTGAGTGGCGTGGGCATAGATTATTCCATTGCAGTTGGCTTAAGTACCTAGAATTGTTTCTGAGCATTTTAACTTATGGATGTAGTTGAGGTCTTAGAGATGCAACAGCTAGTATGTGTGTTACTGTTGTACCAGGCATAAGGCTGTGTTGATGGAATTCCACATTTTAAGTTTTGCTGTATTCCTTTGTGGTGGGTAGACCTTGGCTGAATGCCAGGCACCCACCAAAGCCTCTCTATCACTCCCCCTTATTAGCTGGATAGGGGAGAGAAAATATAACTAAAGGCTCATGAGTTGAGACAAGGATAGGGAGATCATTCAGCAATTACTGTCATGGGCAAAACAGACTCAGCTTAGGGAAATTGAATTAATATATTACCAATCAAATCAGAGTAGGGTAATGAGAAATAAAACCAAATCTTAAAACACTTTCCCTCTACCCCTTCCTTCTTCCCAGGCTCAACTTCACTCCTGTGCTGGTTTTGTTTGGGGTAGAGTTTGTTTTCTTCACAGTGGCTGATATGGGTCTGTGTTTTGGATTTGTATTGAACACAGTGTTGATAATATAGAGATATTTTTGCTGTTGCTGAGCAGTGCTTACACACAGCCAAGGCCTTTTCTGCTTTTCATACTGCCACACTGGTGAGGAAGTTGGGGGTGCATGGGAGGTTGGGAGGAGACAGTTGGGACAGGTGACCCAAACTGACCAAAGGGATATTTCAGACCATATGACATCATGCTCAGTATATAAAGCTGAAGGAAGAAGGGAGGGGATGTTTGGAGTGATGGCATTTGTCTTTCCAAATAACCGTTGCACATGATGGAGCCCTGCTCTCTGGAGATGGCTGAGCACCTGCCTGCCCATGGGAAGGGATGAATGAATTCCTTGTTATGCTTTGCTTTTATGCATGGCTTTGGCTTTCCCTATTAAACTGTCTTTATTTCAACTCACAAGTTTTCAAACTTTTTATCCTTCTGATTCTCTCCACAATCCCACTGGTGGGGGGAGTGAGTGAGGATGCATGGGGCTTGGCTGCTGGCTGGGGTGAAACCACAACAACTCCCTATTTTCTCTTCCCCATGCCTCCCAGTGTCACAGGGGAATGGAGGTTGTGGTCAGTCCATCACACTGTCTCTGCCATTCCTCAGGAGAAGGACTCCTCACACTCTTCCCCTGTTTCAGCATGGAGACCCTTCCATGGGAGGTTATTATCTCCTATTAACTTTAGCCAGGCACCCCTCAATAGCTCGTTTTGCTAAAACCAAAAGACCCAAAGCAGTACATCTTGAGGAAAGGTCTCTGCCAGTCCTCGAGAGCCCCAATGACTCCCCCTTATCTCCAACTCCTCTGATGGAAAAGATACCACCACCAACTCCCCCCTCCCCCCAGCAACAGCTGAGCCACAGGGAGCAAAGGGAGGATCCCAGAGACCTCTGGCAGAAGTGCTGCTTTCTGAATCTCTCCATTGGCCAGTTGATTACCTATTGCCTCTTCTGAGTACCCTACCTAATGTCCCCTAACATGTATTATTTCTACCTCTCTTGGTAAAATCACCACCTCCAACAGGCAAGTAATTGAGCTCTCATGAGCAAACGTTTTTCCCCTGCAAGTTAACAGACCTCTTTCCTCACAGTTTTCCAAACGTATGTACCACCCCATATGCATATTTTGAATCTGTAAATATATTCACCACCTTTCCTTGATACAATTTTCAGGCTTTTATTAAGGCATACAATTCTGTGGTCTGTGCTGACCATGTGCATGGTAGCTTCCCTTCTTCCCCTCCTTTCACTATAGCATATCCAGTAATTTGTTTTCCTCTGATTACTCTTGAAGGAGCAGTGCTTACACACAGCCAAGGCCTTTTCTGCTTTTCATACTGCCACACTGGTGAGGAAGTTGGGGGTGCATGGGAGGTTGGGAGGAGACAGTTGGGACAGGTGACCCAAACTGACCAAAGGGATATTTCAGACCATATGACATCATGCTCAGTATATAAAGCTGAAGGAAGAAGGGAGGGGATGTTTGGAGTGATGGCATTTGTCTTTCCAAATAACCGTTGCACATGATGGAGCCCTGCTCTCTGGAGATGGCTGAGCACCTGCCTGCCCATGGGAAGGGATGAATGAATTCCTTGTTATGCTTTGCTTTTATGCATGGCTTTGGCTTTCCCTATTAAACTGTCTTTATTTCAACTCACAAGTTTTCAAACTTTTTATCCTTCTGATTCTCTCCACAATCCCACTGGTGGGGGGAGTGAGTGAGGATGCATGGGGCTTGGCTGCTGGCTGGGGTGAAACCACAACAACTCCCTATTTTCTCTTCCCCATGCCTCCCAGTGTCACAGGGGAATGGAGGTTGTGGTCAGTCCATCACACTGTCTCTGCCATTCCTCAGGAGAAGGACTCCTCACACTCTTCCCCTGTTTCAGCATGGAGACCCTTCCATGGGAGGTTATTATCTCCTATTAACTTTAGCCAGGCACCCCTCAATAGCTCGTTTTGCTAAAACCAAAAGACCCAAAGCAGTACATCTTGAGGAAAGGTCTCTGCCAGTCCTCGAGAGCCCCAATGACTCCCCCTTATCTCCAACTCCTCTGATGGAAAAGATACCACCACCAACTCCCCCCTCCCCCCAGCAACAGCTGAGCCACAGGGAGCAAAGGGAGGATCCCAGAGACCTCTGGCAGAAGTGCTGCTTTCTGAATCTCTCCATTGGCCAGTTGATTACCTATTGCCTCTTCTGAGTA